AAAAAACAAAGATTTGTGTATACCTATACCTCCCACTCTCTTTCTGACTCCTCTGGTACTTCTGCACATACCTTATTCTTCCATTCCCCTGGCCTCCATGGCATGCCATGTCCCATTATCTTAGGATCCATAACAAACTACCTTCTTGATGACAGTGTCACCCTGCCCTTGGCCTTGCCTTATCATCATAATGCCAAAACCCACATTTAAGATAAGAACCATCCTTGGTGTATCTCCATCAGTCATTTTGTTGCTCATCCTGCCTCCCTCAATCCTGTCCCCTCTGGTAAGTTATACACACTAGATGACTTCCTGGCATCATTCGTGGATGCTGTTGGACCTTCATCTTCTCGGGCTACCTGCATCTCTTCTCCTTGGGATAAAGGCCACATCATTCACTTCTTGGGAGGATCCCTCTCTCCTCAGGTGTTCCAATATCTTCCCTTATCTCCATTTATTCCCTTCTCCTTATATAGACTAACCTTTGGTGACACTCCTTTGATCCCACACTTGCCAAGCTATTTTATACCCTATTTTTCATGACCAAACTTCTCAAAGGATGTATATACTCTCTCCAATTCACACCAGTATGCTTTCTGAAGTGCCAACTCCACTAAAATTACTCCACGCCACCAAAGACATCCATGCTGCCAAATGCAATCATACTTGGTTTTAAAGGAGATTTGGGTCCCTTGAAATACTCTTCTCTCTTAACTCACCAACACACAGGGCATTTGATTTGAGTGATGTGACAGCCATTGTTTACCAAGTGCCTCTCTTTGGTCAGACAGTGCTTTTCCTTTTATTAAAAATAGATTTTTTTATACACAATATACTTTGATTGTGGTGTCCTCTCTCCTGCTCCTGCCAATTCTTCCCACTTCTTGTCCCATCCAGGTCCACACTGTTTCTGTCTCTCATTAGTAAACAAACAGGCCTCTAAGGAATAATAATAAAATACATCAAAAATAAACAAACCAGAAAGTGACAAAACAACCAAATAAGAAAAAGAGCCAAAGAAAAAGCACAAGAAACACATGTAGGTGCAGACACATGCACATTCCCACACTCAGGAATCCCATGAAAACCCCAAACTGGAAACCATAATAAATATGCAAAGGACCTGTAAGATTTGGAAGGGGAAAAAAGCTCCTTGACTTAACATTATGAAACAAAGAACTCCCAAAATAACATTGAGTTCGTTTTGTGGTGGCCATCTCATGCCGGGCATGGGGCCTGCACTTGAGTGGTATGTTTACCCAGTGGGACTCCCTTGGAGGAAACTAATTTTCATGTGCAAGAGATTGTCAGTTGAAGACTGCTTCTGGGTTAGGGGTGGGGACATGTGTTCACTTCTTTAAATTCTAGAATCCGTCTGATGCAGGCCCTGTGCATGCTGCCACAGTCTCTGGGAGTTCACATGTGCTCCCTCCCTGTTGCGTCTAGAAGGCCTTGATTCTTGGGTGTCCTCCATCCCTTCTTGATGCTCTTACACTCTTTCTGCCTCCTCTTCTGAGGGTTTCCTGAGCCCCAAGGGGAGGGATTTGTTGGAGACATCCCTTTCAGGGTTGAGTGTTTCAAGGTCTCTCACTCTTTGCATATTGTCTGGCTGTGGGTCTCTGTATTTGTTCCCATCTGCTGCGGGAGGAAACTTCTCCGATGATGGCTGGGCAAGGCACTGTTTTAAGTACAGCAGAATGTAATTAGGAGTCATTTATTGTTAAGTCCTTTTAGTAGTAGTTGGTTTTCCCCTAGGTCTCTAGCCTATCTGACCTCAGGTTCCTGGCCACCCAAGCACCATTGAGTATGTGTTCCATCTCATGGAGTGGGCCTTAACTCAAAGTAGACATTGCTTGGTTACTCTCACAAGCTCTATACCACTATTGCAGCAACACATCTTGCAGGCAGGTTACTCTTGTGGATTGAAGGATTTGTGGCTGGGTTGGTGTTGACCTTTCTCCTTTAGTGGAATACAGAGTACCTTCTAGGACCATGAATACCAGTCTGTAGAGGTGAAGGCTCTTTGCAGGCACCAGTTCGATTTCTCCATGTTCAATGAGTTGTATAGGTATTGTCTTCTGAAACAGGGCTTATTATCAGCTTGTGGAGAGCCACCCAAAGCCTTGGTAATAGCATGGGTTGTTTGGAGTTTCCCATAGGACCCTTTTGGCCAACAGTTGGATTGGATGTAACTCATCCCTGGTATTGGAAACTTCCTTTGGTGACAAGAGATGTCCAGACACTGCTTTAATGTTGCCTCGGTGAAACAGGAGGGAAGACTGAAGTTCAGAGAAACTGAGTAAGTTCCCAAGGTTACAGAGCTAGCTAGTGCTCACTGCACACTGCAGCCCGGATTCTGTTCAGGTTTACCACCTCAGCCAACTTTGTTTCCTGAAGGGTAAAGAGTGTCCCATGCTCAGCCACAGAAGGGTCTTAGAGTGACAGCTGGGTGCATCTTTTTCAGGGGCTGGAGTTGAGGGGATGGTGGCTTTTGAGAAACGGAGCAGACGAAACAGAAGGGGTTCCAGTGACAGGTCGATTCATTGGGAAGGAACAGGAAATGAGCCAAGAGAGAAGCCCTTCCCAGCAGAGGGGTATGTGTGCCCCAGCTCTCGGCTGTCTCTCCTCTCCCCAGCTCTGAGGCTCCAGGTGTGCCTGTGGACCATGCATGTTGCAGCCTTGCTCTCCATCTAACTGCTTGTCCTGGACTCCGATACACATGATTTCGTCTCAGCAGTCCCCATGGACCCCTCCTTTGACCGGCAGCCACATGGCTGTGAGGTGGAGGCAGGTCAGTCTTGCACCGTGTCCTGAATACTAAAACCTAACCCCATAGGGGATCTGGCTCCACCGAGTTCCAGGGCCCCAGGCTGTTCCCTGCCTCACCTGGATGTGAGCAAGTCAGGTATGGGGGTTGGGGATGGCTTCTAGGGGTCTAAAAATACAAATAGACTTTGCCTTGTGTGATGGGTGGAAAGTACAGCGGCCCAGAGGGCTTTTAGAGTGCACAGTCCCTATAATAATACCCCTCACTTCTCCCGAGAAGTCCCATTAGCCCCCAATGAAATGAATCATATAAACAATATGAATATAAAGGACTAAATAATGATCCCCAAATAAATATACCGACATCCTAATCTCTAGGACTCGTGAATATTGCTTTGCAGAATAAAAAGTATTATGTGGGTGTGGTTAAGTTGAGGAGAGAGAGATGGAGCAGGAATCCTAAAGGTTGGATGTGATCACAACAATGCTTAGAAGATAGATGCAGAGGAATGAGATGTAGGGTTGAGACATAAAGTCAGAGTGATTCCAGGATAAAGAACAAGCCAAAGGCATACAGGCAGCCCCCAGGAGACTTCGAGGCAAAGGCTCCTTCCAGAGGGCACCACCCCTGATGAATCTTGATGTTTAACCCAGTGTGAAAAAAAATTGAGACAGGATCTTGCTAGGCATCTCAGAATCATAAATCATAATCCCCCTGCATCTGCCTCCTGAACATGGGACTTACAGGTGTGCACCAAGTCTAACCCATGAAATTGGTGTCTGATTTTGGCCTCTCAAACCAATTGAGAATAAGTCCATGTTGTCTTATGTCATTAAGTGTTAGTCATTAGTGTGTTAGAAACAGTTAATGCCCAGCCTGGGCCTGGGGACAATATTCTTACCTCCTTCCTTGGGGACAACTATGCAACAATGTATCTCCCAGAGAGAGGGTGCTACATGACGATTCCACTTGCTCCAAGGACATTTTTATTGAGGATCTACTATGTACCACGCAGAAAACACAGCTGGCACTAAGAAAGTGGTATCTCTGTATTTATGGGTCTGTCATGGTGGGGTGGGAGCAGGCATCATGCAATTACTTGATGAAATGGCAAAGTGCTTTCAAATATTACTGTCCTGGAGGGCCTCATAGACATGGCGACATTTAAGGTCTGAATGATGAAACCACAGCTGTGTGAAGATGGGGAAGGGGGCCAGAGGAAGGTATTCTGAGGACATGCACTTGGATAGAGGGAACGACCCTACGGAGAGAATTTGTTGTGTTCAAAGAATACACAAGAAGTGTGGATGATGCATAGAAACTGGGAGAACTGGAGAGAAATAGCAATCTGCAGGGCCTCTCAAGACACCGCAGGAATAAAAAAAGGTTGGAAATAGTCTAAATGCTGTGAAGTTGAGGGTGGAGATGGGGCCAACACAGTAAGCACCGAGAGCTATGGTGCTTGGAAACGTCTCCATAGTTGTAGGAATGTGGGGTGTGAGGGGGAAATGGGGAGAGTATGTAGAGTATCAGGAAAGAGATAAATTCTGAGTCTTCTGTTCTAAAGAAATGGACTGCTCTCAGCAATGCAGGGAAGTTAGGTGGAGCCGTGTGGAAAGAAGTGAGCAGAGCCACATAGAAAGAACAGCGTGAGTCACATGAAAGGAAGCGGCTGGAGTCCCATAGGAAGTATGTGGAGTCACATGGAGGGGAAACAGGTAAAATCATGTGGATCTTCAAGTTTATAGTAGTAGGAGAAAGGACCACAGGGGATAATTCTGTCATGAGACATTTTGATAGTAAGTCACTTACTGGCATGTAGACATCTAGAAACAAGCTTAGAGTTGGATCTCTCATGGTGCCAAATTGTGCCATAAGCTGGTCAATGCACTTCCTTTGCAAGACTTAGCCAAACTCCTGAGGGCCCAATGAGCGGGAGGTGGTATGCGCAGTAACGAAACAGACTAGCTCTAGAGTGATGTAAGAGATACAACTCTCAACAGTCCTCAAACTTTGTGATTCAGAATGATCACTCATCTCTTTGTGCCTCCATTTTCTCATCTGCAAATGGGGACAGTGAAACTGGCCTCTAGTGATGGAGGTAAAGGTTGGGGAGTTGAGAACTATTAATCAATATTTCCATCATGGCTCTGCTTGCAGCCCTGGCTGAATTCCAGGCCAAGTGGCTCTTCCAGTTAGCACTAATCAGGAAAAATGAGTAAAGAAGATCAAAGACATTCATGGACTTTATTATCTAGCCCCACCCACCCAGCCACCCTACCATATGATATACAGCATTGTCAGAGTAGATTGGCTCAGAAACTGATGTCAGGGCCTAGGATTAGGCTCCTTCCTTCCTGAATTCGGAGAAGCTAAAGTTCTTCTTTGACTTCCAGCTTCCTCCCTGGTGGAGGCGGTGGCTTTCCCTGAGCCATCTCCTCCTCCCGCTCAGCTGTTTCCTTCCTTCCCACTGGCTCTGCTGCCTTGCTCATGCTCTCCAGCACGGGTGACTCTTTCGCTTGCCTGTCCTGTTTGGTTGCCTCCTCCAGCTTGGGCAACTGCTGCTCAGGCGACTTCTCTGTGAGCTGGGTCTCTGGCTCAGCTATCACTTCCTCCTCTAGCTCTTCATTTTGCTCAATGGACAATAGCTGTTAAAGAAAATGTGGGAACAAGAGAGGGAAGGGGAAGGGGAATAAAGAAATATGTGTGATCATTGTGGTGACAATTGGTAAGGCTCTTCTGCATGAGCCCAGAAAGAATCATGCTTGGCTTAAGTGTCCTCATAGATACAGTGAGATGATAAAGTGCCCAACTGTGGTTTTGACCCCTTCGTCAGGGGGCACACTTCTCCCTATGACAGGTGTGACTACCTAGCCCCTAATGCCAAGACAAAGCAGGTGACTTTGGGTTAGTTAGCAAGATCCCTCTCCAGCCTACATGTTGCAACTACTGAAAAGTAGATCTTATTAAACCGGGAGAAGGTAAGTCTGGAGCCATGGGCTAATAGTTACTGTTTATGGGGAAGTGACTGCTTGGGAAAACTGCCAAGACGGAAGAAAACACATGGGAAGACAGAGAGCAGATGTGAGCCTCTGGATCCATCTGTGCCAAATGCCCTACTAGGTAAATGGGATGAAACACCCATTGCTGCTGAAGCAGGTGAGGAGTGTCTTTTATATTAGCAACAAAAAAGCATCCTAACTGATTAAAATGGGACCTTCTAGCTCACTGTGGCATGGTTAAGAAAAAAGGGAAACTGTGGTCACATCCATCAGTACAGTGATGCCAAGGGCAGACTTCCATGAGACATTTGATTACCATCTCAGGAAAGTGACAAGCAGGCTGTTTTGAAGGCTGTATGTTAATGCAGAGCCTGTTTTCTAGTGACCGCCATTTCTACTGCCTTGTGACAAGATCCCTTAAAATAACCAGTGAGCTCACTCAAAGTGGATGGTTGTGCCTGCAGCCTCAAAACCATCTCCAGGAAGAGTGAAATAACTGATAGAACTCAAGGCATAGTTTTCAGATGGGCCATTGGCTTCCTGGGAATTGTGTGTGGGAGAGAAGACCCAGCCTGTAACTGTGCCCCTTACCTCATCCTCTTCCTCGATCCTAATCTTGACATGGTGTTCCAGGAAGTCACAGAAGCCCTTCATGGTATGTTCTCCTTTGTACGGGACAGCCTAGGAAGACAGCAAAGCAGGGTTAGGATGGTAGCCTCCTCTTGTAAGTTGCTCATATAGTGTTACAAAAAGAAACTCAGGATCAAATTCCTGACAATCTAGACCTACCAAAAACCACCTAGTCTCTCTGAGCCTCCTTTGCCTTGCCTCTGAAATAAGGTTAAAAACTCTTTCATCAGAGGGTATGAGGAAAGGGTCACATATGAACTATGAAGCCACACATTATAGGTCTAACCCTTGGCTGCATTACTTACCAGTGTGGCCTGCTTACTGAACTTATGACTCAGTTTCCTCATATGGCGTTAATTTCCGGAGCTTCCCCACAGTGTTGTTGGATTAAATGAGCTAATATAGGACTTGGGCTTAAAGCAGCATTTGGTTGATTGTGGGAATTACCACACCCATTTGCTCCTAGGAGTAGCTGCTATTTGTAGTGTTATTACAAGAATAAGAAAAATAGCTGTTATTTTACCTACTGCATGGTCAGCATTCATTCATAATAGTTTCCTTTCCTTTGTGGGTCTTTAAGGGGATTAGAAAGCTACTTACTACCCACTGGTTGTTAAAGCTCTTTATTGTAGAACTTAAGATTGGTGACAGCCTCACCCTGTCAATCTAACATCATTTTCTACAGCTTTTCTACATGTACCTTCTGCACTGGGATGGCATCTCACAGTGCCCTGAACATCCTGCCCACCTCATGTTACATATCCTACTTATAGCGTTCATAACCACTCCTTTAATTTAAATCTCCACCATTCTCCAGAGTCCCAAGTGTGCATGGAGACTTTACCCATATCTCTCTTCCAGATTCTGCTCTCCCATTCCATGCATAGGCAGACCTATGTCATTGTGACTTTGCCTCCCAGTCATCCACTCTTGTCTGGAGCAAGGACCTTGGCTCATGCTCCTTTGATTGATACCCTTCTCCATCAATAGAGAGTATGTTCCACCAGCCTTGGTGATGGTTGCACAAGAACCACAATGCCCAGGTATAAAGAGGATTGTCGGTGTCTGGCACACATTCTTTAATTTGGTAACATTCCACCCCAATATTCCTATAAAGAGGTCCTTACTTTATTCTCTGTAGCTTGTGGAGAGCTCAGCCTCAGTACTAGAGGAAACTTATCAATATCCAATCAAAACATCCACATCCATTTGTCACAGCAATTGGTCAATAATAAGCAATGGCCTTAAGTTGTGTGCAACTATAACAAGTCCCAGAACTTCAGTGGAATATGCTGGAAAATACTCTGAATAGGGACTGGAGCTGAGAATGTTCAGGAGAGGGCTGAGCAGAAGAGAAGCTGAGTTCCTGGGGATGCTAGAACATTTTCAATTATGTGATCCTAAGAGACCCTCACCTCTTGTGAGTCGGTAGGGAAAAGCCTAAAGAACGGGTACTGATCTGGGTTCTCCAGCTGAATGTCATTTGCTGTTATATCCATCTTGGCAATGATGACTGTGGAGTGATTTTGATACTTTATGCCCAACTCTTCCAGCAGCGGTATCAGTACCTTGCACTTCTCAGACCAAGGTGCATCTGGAAAAGAAGGTTCTTGCTCAGCTCCTCTTGTCTGGGACTCTGAAAGCTGATGCCACATAGCACCACTGTGTTTTTCTTACCATGCATCTACTCAGCAACTCACACACTTTTTCATTCATGCCATATCATATATCTCAGTATATGATCACTATTAAGTAAATCAGAATAATAAACAGCCTAGTCCTATTCCTCCTGGACATTAACATTTTCTGATGTGTTAATATGTTCTTTAAAAAAAAAAACAACTTCCTTTTGACATAGTGTTCCACTCCAGTTGAAGGGAAAATATTTATGCTGCTATTATGTCTAAGAGAGAATGTGTGTGTTTATAGCACAGAAGTTAAGCTACTTGACCAAGGTCATCCAGAAAATTAAGCAAAGGGAATAGGACTTGAAGACAGCTCATGTGGGTGTGATTGTACTACAAATATGGCATAGCATAATGTTGCATAATATATATATTAATACATAATATAACATGCCTTTCAGTCACTTGGAAGAGAACATGCCCAAAATACTGAACAGGTATGCTCTAAAATTGTGACAACTACCCTTGGCAAGGGACACTGGCCTTTCTTGTGGAAAGTTCCTTGAGCTGTGAGTGGCCAGACAGCTGGCCCTTTGGAAAAAGACCAGAGCACAGATCCAAAACAGGGAAAGCCAGACCTCACTGGTTTGCCTTCGTCTGAGGCTCAGAACTCAAGAGTTTTACTCTGTGGGAGGAGTGACCCCAGAGGCCCTGACATTACACTTCTGCAAGCCCATCTATCCATTTACCAGCCAAGTGCCCCCTGTGACCAAACCTCCTGCCTATAGCACCCAGAGAACCCCTGGGGCCTGATGGCTAGGAACACAGGGGATAATAGCTGAAGCCCTAGGGTGCAATCCAACAGGCCTACTTCCAAGAAAACGAGGCTGGTCTTGCCTTTTATCAAAAGCAAATGAGTGTTCTCAGAACTCTGTGTGTCAAGTAAGTCGAGAAAGGCTGCCCCAGCTCTGTGCTAAAAGGGAGCAGTTTGCTGTGACTCAGCCGCACAGCTCTCAGAAGTGCTGTCAGTGGACAAGTATCTGCTTCATGGAGGGTGTGACAAGGCGCACGATGGAATCAGCACAGGAATGGCTTCCCTTTCGGTCTTCATACTTACCAAGTGACCTTGACCTGTGTCAAGGAGAACACCACTGTGCCTTCCTCACAGCCTTTCTGTAATATACCACATGCTACACTTCAGCCTAGCTCAGTGTACAAGCTCACTAAATAGTACCTTTGCCTGTCTGAAGTAGCTTTGGAGTCACCTTCTCCAGTGTCTCATGGAGAGAAGGCTCCAGTTTGGGGGGCTGGCATATAAAGTAGAGCTGATGGGAAAGGGGCGTAGTCCTTAGACAAGGAGTGGGGATAATTATAATGGAAGTAACAGCAGTCATCACTTGTAGAGTGCTTACAACATGCCGTACACTATACAAACTCCTTGATATGAAACATGTGTGCCCCTGCTTCACAGGGGCCATTAGATGAGTCATAAGGCCCACAGTAGGGAAATGCTAGATGATAGTATGAATATAGGTGCTGGAGCCAGACTAAAAATGTTCAACTCCTATTCTCAACACTTAGTGATACTGGGAATGCTTCTTCACTGAGATTCTGCTGAGTGATCCATACATGGGAGGCATAAGAGCTGCTTCTAAGAGGATGTGGTGGGGAATTAAATGGCATAGGTATACAATGACTCAAGCCTGAGTCCTAATGTACTGCTGTATCCAACAAAAGCATGTTAATGTTAGCCACCAGTGTTTCTGTTACAAATTGTCATAGGACTGGATTATGTGGAAAGCAGTCAGACATGTTAAGAATTAATTTGGGGGCACCAAGTTGCCTGTGGCTGCTGGTGTCTTGATCTTGAGAGAGAGGAGACAATCTTTAGTATGGTTTCAGAGTTTATGGGTTTGGAGACTGCAAGAATTCAGAAGCAATACTTGAGAAGTAATATTGGGACCCTTGGTCTCTCGTTGTCTCCATAGAGATACTTACAGAACATCACAAACACGTCCTTCTCCTTATCCAAGACAACCACATTGAAGTTCTTCCCCACAAGCTGCTTAACTGGCCCTTGGTCCCAATATTTCGGAATCTCTTCACTGGTTTTGTGTTTCTAGGAAGCAAATTGAAGAAGTCTAACACTCTCCACTCCAGCAAAGAACAAGCAGCTGGAGTTCCCCATCCCCAATTACAAACAACAAAAGGCAAACTCTTGAAAAGTTAGAAATGCAGCGATAATCACAAACTCAGTGTTAGCTCTGCATTGCCCAGCGATAATCACAAATTCGGTGTTAGCTCTGCCTTGTCCAGAGCAGACAGGGGTCAGAGAGCTGGGGGGGGGGGTCAGAGTTCTCAAGGGGGTCAGAGAGCTGAAGGGAATCAGAGCACTAAGGGGGAGTCAGAGCTCTGGGCTGCAATTTATCCACATCTATGATTCTCAGGATTCTCAGATGATAGTAGAACTTACACCATTAGCATCTCAACTAGACTGCTTGAAAACAACACTTGTCCCCAATGACTGTGAGAGCCAAGACCAACGCATTTCTGTGCCAGCCTCCCCCAACTTCATTACCATTTTGCATCTTGGCTTTCTTTATCTGTACTGATCATCAGTTGGCCCCAAAGCCTAACTGTCTTCCACCTCAGGCTGGTATGTTCTTCCCACAGCCTGGAAGGCCTTCTCCAAGCTCTACTCTCCTTCCTCTATCTAGTGAACTCAAATTTATTCTTCAAGATGATGAGTTCTTTGAAATGTCCCCTTGTGTTACCTTCAGAACATTATCAATTCCTTTTCTACCATGCTAGAGGGTGCCTTAAAGGACCTTCTCATCAAGTGTCAGCACATAGAAAGACCTCAGTAAAGAATTTTTAAATGGACAGAAAGAATGGATTCATCAGCTGTTTTGGCTTAAAGATTTTTTTTAGAAATCTTGTATTTTTCTATACCACCACTGACTCCTGGGTATCTCTTGAGTCTATACCCTCTTTTCCATTTTACCTGTGACTATCTTAGTCTAGACAGCCCATGCTTCTCACATGGATTCCCCTGCATCTTCTCCAAATCCTCTCCATGCCTTTACTTTCTACAGTTAGGGCTCTGTTTTGATCATGGAGAGCTGTTTTCTCCTTGTATATGAGATGCCAAGTTTTTAATGTACATATGAAGTCCTTGCTGCCTGGCTTCTGTCAAATTTTAGCTTTTTTTTTTTAGTGGTACCAAACCCTTCCTCTACCTCATAGCCTCTAAAAATGACTTCAAGGCTCTTTCACTGGACACATAAATGTGGGTGGGGGGAGACTGGACATGGAAGATGAGCAATGACGCAAACAGCGAAGAATTAGGACTAGGCAGATCAGACAGAGATCGCTAGTCACGTGGAGGATGTTTATCTATATTCCAGGAGCACAAGAGAATGTATTGTCCTTTGAAGGGTGGAAAAATACCTTACATCTAACTATCAAGAAGAGGAGGCTAGGGAGAGTCTCAGGCATGTTGAAGATGTGATCGTGGAAAGTGAGGTTCTCTTTCCTTGGTGATGTATTGGTAGAGTGCTGAGCTGAGAGTGAAGGTAGGAATAGGACTGGAAGAGAAATTGACCTAAAGGTAATGAGATAATTATCTTTAGAGGGATTTAAACAGAGAGGCTGAGGCATTTCTTGGTAGAGGGAAGTTTGGTCGGTGTGTCCACAAGGTCAGTCAGTCTCATGGTAGAGTTGCTCTTCTCCAGCATTACTATAGAAGTAGTACAGAACTTAAATGGGCTCAACAGGAGTTGGATTTCTGCTTGGAGGTATATATGCCTTATATACCTTCAGGGTATAGAAGAAGTGAGACGTGGAAAGGATGAGGAAGTTATCAGAGTGATAAACCATAGATTCCAAGTTCATGGAGAAGGCACCAGAGAGACGGAAATAGGTTCCAAATGTTGAAGGTCATTGGGTGAGGCTCTTTAGTAGTGTGGTCAGTGGAGAAGGGAACTAAGAGGAGAAGAAGCTTGAAATGGAATCTTTGGAGGAACTTCCAGTTATAGGTAATGAGCACATGAGCAGAAGGCTGAAATGCTGTATGCATACCAACTTGTGGAGAACAGAGATAAACATGTTGGATGTTAGTGCCTGGGAATGAAGACGAAGCAGCATGGAGGTAGTCTGTACTGAGGAGCCCTCATCCTCAGAGAGAGGGGAGGGGATGGTCAGAGGACAGCAACAAGGGATGGAAGCAAGTGGTACGATGCCCAAAGCATGAAAGGCAAAGACTGTCGGGTGTTAGACACTAGAAGGAGAAATGATTTGGAAGTACCAGGAAGGACACCAGCTTTTCCATTTGACCTCACAATCATGTGAGTCAGAGAAGAGCTTCTCCTTGAGAAGGATGTAGAGGAGGAAACATGGAAATATGGAATAGGCAAAAGGAAATGGAAGCAGCCAGAGGTAAGGTCTCCAGAGATGTGGAGTTACCTGAAGACTCGCCATGGACTCCTGCCATTATCTAGAACATGTTTGAAGGATTCTCCATTTACTATCAAAGATATTTCAGTTTGTAAAATAAACACGGTTACTCAGTAGGTGTGCTTATAGTTAACTTCCTGAACCTACCCTTTCAGCAGCATGGACGATGTCTCTCCACCCCACACAACCTAAAAGTCCCTGAAGCTCTTGAGGCCAAATCCTGGCTGCTATTTGCCTCATCTCCTTCGGGTCAAGTGGATTTTCCAAGAAGAGGCTGCAGGAAGGATTAAAGCCTCCTTCAGCAGACAAGTCAGTTTCTAGTACATCTGAACTTCTACTGGGAATTTTAAGAACTGGTAGTGAATTTCCAGCCTCAGAAGAAGCCACAAGTTGCAGTGATTGAAGGTGGAAAATGCAGAGACTGTGCCACATTGAACCTTGGGATGGTCTTCGTTCTATTTCTTTGCTGGTTAATGAAACCAGCAAAACTGTTAGGAGGTTCTGAGGTTCTAGACACGACTTACCTGAGAGTAAGCTTACCTTGGCAGTTTTGCTGAGGAAGCTGAGGCAGAATTTCTTGAGGTTTTCGTAGGTTATATCATCTGTGGGCATTTTGTATCTGGTATCAGAGGTTATGTTCAGGATTTGAACAGATGGGACATTGACTGTTGAGATCCGGAAGTGCTCGAAGACGCGTTTGTTTTTGGGTTCATCCGAATTCACAAGAATGAAAAGGATCTGCCAAATCAAGGAAAAATTCCTGAAACGAGTCTGGACCCCTCGTCAAGGGGAAGGAACAGCTGAGAAGCTAGGAGCTAAGGGAACTCAAACAGCAAGGCCTCCAAAGTGCCTCCAGGCAGACTCCCTCCCACACCTGGAGCAGACCGGCAGCCTCCCCAGCCTCCCTGTGCTCTGCAAAATCCACACAGCTTCAGGAACTGAGCAAGCTGGCCTGAGCATTCATCCTTGTTCCAAACCTCAATTTCCCTGTCTGTAAAATGGTGATTCTGGTCATATTGCTTTAGAGGATTGCTTTAAGAATGTGTTCAAAGGCCTGATTTGGTGAGTGGCAGGTAGAAGGTTTATTTATTACATGCGAATTCAAAATTACTCTATGAAGGAAACCCAAAGTCCATTATTCACACATCCACATACCGAATATTCACATTTAACTGGACACTAGGGACACAGTATTGTACAGAAGATGGACTGTCTGCCCTGTGGAACTCACATTCTAGTGGAGGAAATAGATGAGAAGTACATTTAATAATGACAAGTAAAGATTGGAAAGCGCAATAGAGGGATGGGGTAGAGTAACCATGCAGATGAGGTGAGACATCTGCTCAGTAAAGTTAGGGGGCCAGGAGAAGAATCTGTTTTAGCAAACAGAACAGGGAACAGTGATCCAGCAAGTAGAAACTCAATGCAAAGGAAAGCTCTAGTAGCAAAAAAAAGCATAGAGAATAGAATGTTCTAGAAAGGAAAGATATCAGCACCATGATGGAGAGCATCATAGGAGATGAAATCTGATGCTATAAAAATGAAAAGTGAGATCAGAAGTCCAACAAGAAGCTTGGGTCTGGTTTGATCAGAATAAAGATGGAATCAAGCCAGAGAGTGTCATGGTGGAAATTTTCAAATAGTAAGAATAACTGCAGAAAAGAAGCAAGAGTGGATGCAAGGAGATGAGTTAGAGGCTCTGCAGACACCTGCTGTCACATATTTTTAGATCATTCATCCATCCAAAAGTTTGCCCACAAAAGACAATGTTCCAGTCTTCTGGATGCTAGGGAAACTCCAAAAATCAGAACAGACTGTTAAATCATCTTGAACATAACCAATAAGTACCAGTTACTTCTATACTCCAGGTACTTGAGTATAGTGGGTGGTAAGATGGACATAAGATAAGGTTTAGTGGAACAGTTTCAGCCAAACTCTTAATCTGTAGCTCAGATAGTAATGACAATTGGTACACTCTCTGGTCATGGCAACAAGAATTTAGAATTTCATCTCCCGATTTGTCCCAAAATAAATTCCAGCTGCACTAAAGGGTTAAAGGAAAAAATGAGGAAATATAGTTGAGAGCCAGACAGATAGCTCAGAAGGTAAAGATACCTACTACCAAACCTGACAATTGGAGTTAAATTTCCAGGACCCACATGGTAGAAACAGAGAACAGCTGTTCCCAGACCTCCACACACGTTGTGGAATACATATGCACATGTACATTTATACACATACATATACTAATAATATTTTTAATTAAATATGGTTAAGTATTGATAATATAGCTTGTGAGAAGTCAAAAGAACCATCAGGTCACAGTCACATTAAATATCTGAAAATATAAAAATGAAAAACAAGATAGATCAATATTTGCAAGAGGTACCTGTGATTAGAAGCATCTTTCTGAAAAACAAGTGTGTTGGGACAAAATATACCTGTTAAGTGTGTTTATGCTTCAGTCTTTACTCCATGTTTACATTTCAGGATTGTCATTTCATTTAATTTCAGAATAACTTTAAATGAAAAAAAGATCTTTCATAGTCCAGACGCCAGTAGGTGAGCTACACATAGGTATAGGGCATAGGCAGTGAGGATACCAATTACAAGCACCAGGAAGTGTACTTTAGCTCATTGTTTGGGGTGTGAATTTTCTAGGTTAAAGTTAGAGTTTATGTAGAACATAGAAGTTGAAGGAACACCTTTAGTGTATTTATTAAGATGAGTGAAAGAACTGTGGGGTTGGCTCCCTTCAAAGAAAGAATGAAACAGAGTTATCTAAAATAAAATAGTAAACATGATATAGCATTGGTATGTAAATCATGAAATATATGCAAATTATGCACAAATCATTCCTGAATTAATTTATAGTGAGTAGAAAAGACAACTACCCTCAGAGTCTGCTGCTCCTGTGTGCCCATCCAAGTGTCTCCAACAACACTAGGTTGGTCTACAAACCTTGTTCTGGAATTCCTTTGGAATCATTCTGTAATGCCGGATTATGACGCTGTATGGCTCTGAGTTTTTGGAGATAAAGAGCAGCATGTGATTCAAGATGTTCAGTTCATAAATCAGTTCCTTATTCTGAAATTGCAAGGAAAACATGTCATTCAAAGTACACACATGGGTCCCTGAAGTCCTCCCAGGACCCCTTTGCCCACTGACCTCAGGGTTATATTCAATCACAAAAGCTGTAAGCTGCTGTTTCACAACCTGATTGAGATAATCTTTGTCGGTATTGTCATTAATAAGCTCTTGACGTTTCACAATTTTTCCCTTGAGCCAAAGAAAAAGCATCTTAGAGGGCAGTAGCTTTCATAATATATACACCTAACAAATATCAATAGCATCCCCCCAAACCCAGGCTGAAGGTAAAACACTAAGGATGCCGGCAGGTGTAGTAGATAACCCAAGTACTTGATGAATAAGAACATTGAGCAAACCAGTCTGTGTGTTCAATGTGGGTATGTGATAAGGAATCTGACTGACTGACAATCCCAGCTGTTGTGCTCTAAAATCCACCAAAACACATGTAATACTGTTGAACACCATGCCACATTGCCACCAAACAATGGTCAAAGGCATCAGGGGTACAAAGGCAAACCCAGGTCAGGGAGATCCTGAGAGGTACCTCTGATCAGAGGTGATCTATCAGCATTCCTAACTACAACAGGGTCACACCTTCACTGTGGTCTGAAGGTTCTCTAAGTACCTCACCTCTATGCTTATTCCCCTAATGAATAGGTGGCATATCTAATCCTGCTATGTAACATCTTCCAGAAGGATCTAGATAAACATGGGGGTAATGTGATTGTTTACAGTCTGAGTATTCCATGCTCTCTTCATCCCCACCAGTCCTAATTTGGTACAAATTTCTCAGCTAGACTCTCAAAGTGCTCCCCCTACTGAATTCTATACACAACCACCACCACCACCACCACCACCACCACCACCACCACCACCACCACCACCACCAGCAGCAGCAGCAGCTAGCCTGATGTTGTTAGAACACAAATCTGATTCTTGTTATTGTTTTCTTGCTTCAATGTGTTATGGCCCCAAGTTATCCTCTGGATAAAGTTCCGTGTCTTTACTGGTTATATCAGCATCAATACTGATTAGAGAGCTCATGATGTGCCAGACACAGTTACAAACATAGTATACACATCAGTTTACTTAGTCCTCAGTATCTCCCAAACTCTGTTCTAATATTGCCTTCCTTTTTCCCTTTCTTCTTTTTCTTTTTTTCTTTGTTGTATTCACATCTCTCCCACTTTGCACGTGAGAAAACTATGGCACAGAGAAGTAAAATAGCCTCTCTTAGATTACTAAGTAAGAGATGGACCCAGGAGTTAGTTATCTAGTTAGTGCTAGGATTGAGCCCTGAGCTTTACATGGACTAAGCATATACTCTACCATTGAATCATACCCCCAACCCCAGAGCCAGGATTTAAAAATGGGTAGTCTAACCATAGCGTTCACATTCTTAGCTGCTCAAGATATACCTTCCTATAACATTATTCAGACTCAGGGGGTTGTATCTATGTATTTAGTTATGATATATGTGTATATGTCTAAACAACTAAAGAAAAGGAGGCCATGAATTTGAGAGAGAACAAGGTTCATGGGAGGGGTTGGAGGGAAGAAATCAAAGGGGTGGATTGTATAATTGTAATTTTAAAAGTAACAATCATTACCAGGCAGTGGTGGTGAATGTCTTTAATCCCAGCACCCAGGAGGCAGAGGCAGGCAGATCTCTGTGAGTTCAAAGCCAGCCTGATCTACAAAATGAGTTCCAGGAAAGGTACAAAACTACATAGAGAAACCCTGTCTTGAAAACAAAAACAAAAGCAAAAAAAGTAACAATCATTATAATAAAATAAGTAAATAAATAAAATATACCTCTCTACTTATAGGTATAATATAGAATCCAAATAATTAATAAATGCATTTATCATAATAAATACAAAATACCTAGAATATATTTTTCATAGTTGCTATTTGGCTTTTGATTTTGTAATTGGTTTACTCTGCAGAACTTTAGATATGTAGACATGTAAACAGTACACATTTAACAGAAATTTAATAGGGTTTCTCCATGCTTTGTTAAGGGGCTCCCCAAATTCCATTTATAGGAAACAAACTTTGGACTGGAGAGATGGTTCAGTGGTTAAGAGCTGCTCTTCCAAAAGATCTGGGTTCTATTCCCATATGGTAGCTCACAACCTTCTGTAATTCCAGTTCCAGGAGATATAATGCCCTATTCTGGTCTCCAAGGTGCTCAGATATGCCTAGAAGCTAAACACCCACTTATGTAAAATAAAATTCAAACAATAACAAATGAAGAAAGCAAACTGTCATATGTCATCACACCGAAAGATGGTTTCACGAGTTTCAGTTTTGAATCGGGGTCATACAGTGTGCTGCCTGACTACAGCTTCAGTGTTTTCCCTACTCTGCTACCTGGTTATTCTCAACATCCTACATTTAATAACAGTCTTTTCTCCTCTAGTCTCAATTATTATCTTTGCCATATATTAGAGTTCTATATGTATTCAGATCTATTCTGATATGTTGTCCCATTCAAGAAACTTTTTAGTCTCCATCTTAAAACCTTTTCAATGACTTCTATGGGCCCAAGAGAAAAAGACAAGGCTGAGTGCCACCTCTGAGGGTCATGAAACATCACTCCACATATCAAATGTGGCCTCAGATACTTACTCATTTGTAAGTAAAACAGCTGTTGTACAGATCTGACTTTGGGTGCGGAGACAGGAAAGCATGACTTGAAGTCCCACAGAATGATCTGCAATGGGGAAAATGCTCTAGTGTCTGTGCTATTCTGCACAGCGGCCAACTGGCCCCAAGTGGCTCCAGTGTACTGGAAATGTGCCTTGTATGGCCAAGGAACTCTGGCAGCCTATCTAGTATCAGTTTGATTGGAAGATCAGTAAGACTTTTCTGGGTGTGTCTGTATGGTGTTTCCAGAGAGGATTAACTAAGGGGAAGATGTGCCCAAATGTGGGCCTCACCATTCCACAGGCAAATCCAGACTGAAGAAGAGGGAAAAGAGGAAGAAGCCATGCAGCACAGACATCCCCTCTCTCTGCTTCCACTGTTGTGATGTGAGCACTCTGCTCCACCAGTCCTTGTAGGAACGATGGATTAAAACAATGAGTGTGAATATTTCCTCCCTGACTTGTTTTTCTCAAGTATTTCAAGGACAAAAATCTGACACAGAAACTAAAACTTTAACTTAATTACTTTTCACCTAAATAGTCATATCATCTATATAGTTAAAGACTACTGGTTACCACATGGAAAGCTCAGGTCTAGATCTCAGGGCTCGAGGATGGATCACTAAATGAGCTCAGGCTGTGGAAGGTCTTGTAGACCTGATTAAGAATTTGAGTCTTTATTCTTCTAACAAAAGATCAGTGAGTTCTGTAGCTGGAGAGTTTCTCTCCAGGTCCTGCCAAGCCCCCGCAGTCCTGAAGCCCACTTATAAAATAAACACACAGATGCTTATATTATTTAAACTGTTTGGCCTAATGGCTCAGGCTTCTAGCTAGCTGTTCTTATATCTTAAATTAACCCATTTCTATTAATCCATACCTTGCCACATGGCTCGTAGCTTACCAGTACTTTACATCCTGCTCCTCATTGTGGCACAGCATCTCTCTGCCTCAGCCTTCTACTTCCCAGACCTCTCCTCTCTCTTTGTCCCGCCTATACTTCCTGTCTGGCTACTGGCCAATCAGTGTTTTATTTATCAATCAATCATCCACAGCACAGTTCAGTGAGAGACTCTCACCTCAAGACAATAGAGGAGGACACCAATAATCCTGCTCTAGCTTCCACATGTGCACAGATACACACCACATGCATGTACCATACATACATACACCACACACACCTTCTTACACAAAGCATTAAAGGACTTTCTGAGAGGAGGAAGAACATGACCATCAGATTTCAATTTTGGAAAGAATATTCTTCTGCAGACCAGTTTGAAGACTGTTCTAATGGGCTATTGGAGGTGGTGGTCAGTTTATCCAGGATGGTCACAGTAGAGACGTGGAGAAGTGGTAGACCCTGGGAACATCTTGCACATGCATATTTGGATTGGTTATGATGGAGGGGTGGAGAAATGGGAGATATTAGAAGGAAACCTAGCGTTTCTGGCTTCCTCCACTAAATGAGGGGATGGTGGCACTCTTCACTATGACTCGCCAAGTCTTTTTTTTTTTTTTTTTTTTTTTTTTGGTTTCTCTGTGTAACAGCTCTGACTGGAACTGGTTCTGAAGACCAGGGTGGCCTTGAACTCACAGAGATCTGCCTACCTCTGCCTCCCAAGTGCTGGGATTAAAGGCATGAGCCACCATGCCTGGTGACTCTCCAAGTCTTAAAAGAACTTGGAGAGGAGATTATGACTTTGACATGAACCATGATGAACTATTTGGTTCTACAAACCAAAATCTGGAGTTAAGTGAAGTCTAGATGGAGATGCTAATTGTTGACAGAGATGGATAGGAAAACATGAACCAGAAAAAAGAAGTTAGTAGGATTGAGTCTTGATGAATGACAGATACTGGCAGAGGCAGAGAAGCAGGAAAGGTGGTGGGGTGGGGGGTGGGGGTCCAGGAAACAGATTTCTCACAAGTCAACTAGTCCAGGAACACTTAGTTCACAGGCAGTGGAGACAGAGCGTGTCCCCAAATGCCACCACATAGTGTGAAGTGAAAGGCCCTCATGATCATATAGGATGAAGACCTACCTTTTTGAACACCAGGACGCTGTCAAGGATCACTTGGAAACCCCCAAAGGCATTTTTTATTTCTATCATTCCAAACGTAAGCTCTGGGAAGTCCTTGACGAAGTTATAAAACAAATCTGCCACTTCTTCCTCTAAATCCTGTTTGGGAAAGCATGTTCTGTAATTCTCTGGAGGAGGTAACAGTGCCCGGCTTGAGGGGAAGGTGGAGACAATAGTCTATCTGTCCCTTTGCTTTTCTAAGTTCTGGGTTTTTGCTGGGTGGCCGAAGTCCCCTTTTATGGATGTTTCCCACCTAGAATGTTCCTCTAGCTATGACTGAACCCCACACAGGCAAATCCTCAGAGATCAATGGAGAGAACCACATATTTTTACTTTTTCCTATTATTAAAATAAAGGTTGTTCTAACCTGTGAATTAAGAATATTTCTAAAATTAATTCCTGCATCACTTTCAGAAGAAGCCATTGACATGACTGCAGGTAACACCAAATGTGAACTGGTGTTGAGATGCAGCTGCTCTTTTGGCCTTTAAGACTCAACATTCAGCATGAAAGAATATGTGGGTCAATAATACTCTTGAGGAAGCAGAAAGGAAAGAGCCATGCACTCTCCTCATGTGTAAATATGATAGCAAAGACTGACATCTATTGAGAGATGAAGCATTGTGGACCTAAAGTAAGTCAGTTAAGGCACATGAAAAACTCATTTTCTACAAGCAAATACACTTAGTAACATTTATAACTATAAAGAATAAAATCAATAGAAAGTGATCATAAGACATTTCATAAGCACATTTAAATTATTTATGAGCTATCCCAAGTATCTCCCTGCACTTGATCTAGATGAGGATTGATTGACCCTCCAATGGTGCATGCTACAGGGTTGATAGTCTAATTTATATGGAGACTTGAAAAGAGTTTATGAATAGAAACTGGCTTAACCTAAGCAGACTAACAAACACCTGTTGGAATCATAGTTAAAATATGTGGGAGTCTGAGGGAGTCCAGCTCCTACCTGTTCCCACCTATTGAAGGGTTCTTGGGTGGAGGAGAGAGGAATGAGGAAATATTAGGTGAAAATATAGACCTAGACAACAAGGAGAAAGACAGAAACACAGTATAGCTTCAGAAGGGCCCTGGGTCAATATCCAGCCGCCCAGAGCTTTATTCAAAAGGGCCTTTTATAATATGCCAAGGGGAGAGGCAAAAGACCTCCCCCTTGCAAGATCAAAGCACACCTTAAAGCCAAGTGTAGACCCCTCCAAACACCTGGTAATCACGCCCATAACCAAATCATTGCATTATGCAACCCTGCTGGGTAAAGCAAGCTCAGATTTTCTGACCCTGAGTAAGGTCTCACTAGAAGTCTCTATGAGCCATCACAAAAATAGTCCTTAAACCAGAAAACAAAGACATCCTCTTATTCTTATGTTCTAAATAGATCCCTCAAAGATCAGTTACAGCATTCAGACCAAATAATATGGATGCCAATCTCTTATTCTCTCCATTTTTTTCCCATCTTCTAACCAATCTCTAACATTTCAGCTTCCATGTGTTCTTTCTTCACTTGAAACCAGGAGCTCCCACAGGACACCAGCTCAGTGGATAGGAAAATCGAGCAAGGACCCTATACAAGCCAGAAACCCTCCTTCCCCCAAACCCTCCACACACAGTGCTCACCATGTGAAAATTACCTCTCACCCCTTAATCCCAGTACCTGGAAGAAGCCAACGATGACCAAGGGCCTGGATTTCACAAAATTTGTCACTTCCTCCGTGTTGTTGAACAAAGGTGCTTTGTGGAGAATTTGTCTTCTCAACCAAACAACCAAAGCTGTAGATTCAACCACATCTGAAGAGAGACAGTTAAAGGAATCCCATCAGAACTTTCCTGAATTCAATGAACAGAAATTTCTTGTCTTGAATTCCACCCTTTGCAGGCTAAAGGCAGTATCTCCATTTTCTTTTTCTTCCAAACTACAAGACATGACTGTATTAACAGCAGCTAAATGTCACTGACCTTTCACTACACCTAAGACCCTGTACTGAGTATTGTGCTTGCATTAAACATTCACAGCAACTCTAAGGAATGGGGGTTCTCAGTCTTCCCATTTTGCAGATGAGGAAAGCAAGGTTCAGCTTGCCTACAGCTGGTTTACCAGACCACCTGAGAAACCAACCTGAGAGTCCCAACCTTCTCTAAGATGATAGGAAAATAATTGGTTTTCTTAAAATATAAGTCAAAAGGTCACGTATTTCTGTAACTTCAGAGAACATCTCATTTCTGTATCTATGATTCTAATGCTCTCACTGAGACCCAAATATCCCCGAAGGTTCCAGAATCCCAACTTCTATTACACAACTACTACTTGGGAGTACCCAAGTTCAGAAGTCCTGGCCTCTAAAATGAGGACATCTATTCCCAATCTGGAAAGACATGTTGGCATACACATCTGTGTACAGTTAGATGTACCTTTCCCAGGAACATCAGTTTCATAAGACAGAAAATGAGGTAAGCTCCTGTTTATGTCAATATCTGGTGTAGGGTGGGAGAGAAATTTTTAAATAATTCTTTAAATAAAGCAAAACTTTAAAAATAGGTTTGGGGTGCAGCCTGACCTTTAGTTATAACTCATTAATTCCTTTTAACTTTTCATTTACTGGACATATATATATTGACTTCCCCTCATAGTATTAAGGTGTCAGACTTAGTCTTAAGGATATCATTGTGAGCAGAAAATAAAACACATCACCACTACTTTGAAAGCCCCTTAGTGTGTTAGGGAAGACAATAATCAACTAATTGCACAAATAAGTGTATCGTCACACCCAAAGGAAGTATTTAAAGAAAAGTTATATGAGCTTGTAGCAAAAAAAAGACCTGACCTAGAAGCCAAGGTCAAGAAGGATTTCCCTGGAAAAATGATATAGAAGCTGAAATCTGAAAGATGCCCAGGAAGAAAGCAGGAGATAGCAAGATGAGAAAAAGCCTGTGCCAAGGCCCTGAAGCAGGACAGACTGCCTCACAGGGACTGACCAGTCCACCTGGAATTGCAGAGGCAACTGCAAAAGGCTGTCAGTATCATAGTTTATGTTTTTTGTTTTCGTTACTATTCTGCTGCTGTGACAAAAGCGCCCTGGCAAAAGCATTGTAAGAGGGAAAGCGCTTCTTTGGGCTCAGAGTTCAAGGCCCAGTCTACCATAGCAGGGAAGTCAAAGTGGCAGGCAGGAGCTGGACACAAGTCACATGGCATCAAAGTGAAAAACTGAACAGTACATGCCAGTGCTAGGCCTGCCTTCGCCATTTCTTACACTCTAGTACCCAGTGAGAGAAGGCTTCTGCTGGTCGTTAACATGGATCTTGCCACATCAATTAACCCAGTAGAGATAGTCCTCTTCAGGTCTTTCTAGAGACCCACCTGCCAGGTGATGCTAGACTGCTCGAGATGGCAGCATTAACCATCACAGCTCCTAAGACAGTGGTTCTCAACCTTCCTAATGCTGTGACCCTTCAGTACAGTTTCGCTTCCTATGGTGAACCCACCCATAAAATTTTTTTGTTCCTACTTCGTAACTGTAATTTTGCTAATGTTATGAATCATAACGTAAATATCTGATATGCAGGATATCTAATAGGCAACCCCTGTGAAAGGGTCGTTCAACTCCAAAGGGTCCCGACCCACAGGTTGAAAACCACTCTCCTGAGTGCATTAGACCTGTGTGGTAAAAACAGGTAGAAGTAAATGACTGTGTACACTTGATGACTTTTCACAAAATAAACATGTGCGCGTAACTGCTACCCAGATGAAGAAATGGGGTGTGGTCCTGGCCATCCCTTCAGAGTCTTAGTATGTAGAAGAAGATAATCACACAAATACATCTGAATGCTGAGTGTGCCACTGAAGCCTCCCACCCCACATCTAGGGGTAACGGTGTTCTTAACCTCTAACAGCACGCACTGCTCACCTGTTCCTAACTTCCCACAGCTGGATTCCTAGAGTATGTTTACCTGGAGCACAGTGACTGACTTCCATCAGTCTGATGAGCCACGAGCAACATTTCTGGGCACAGAAGATGTCCTGCTCGGCTTTAGTAGATACGATTAAGATTGGAGTGAGGGGTGATGCTGCTTGCCTATAACCCTAACACTCAGGACTGACACAGGAAGAGCCAGAGAACCAGGCCAGCCTGGACGACACAGTGACCCCATCTCAAACACGACAAAGCAAAGCACAAAAAAAGAAATAATCAAGAAAGCCTCCAAATGAGCTTCACCTTCAGATCATCAGAACCATGGCTGCAGCCTCGATTTTCCCCTGCACCAGCCATTTCCCGTTCATCTCCTCCATGCCCCTAGTCACTCCCTGTCTTACTGCTCCTCCCCTGTCCTGTCATTGTCTTAGGACTTCATCTGTTTTTCTGTAAGTCTATCACTTTCTGAAACTGTTGGTACGGTTTAGAGTAAACGTGTTCACTGTGAGCTGCCAGGCACATACTTGGTGCTCAAGACATCACTGGAGGACGAGGGAATAAAGGGAGTGGACCACCCGAAAAGCCACCTTGAGAGAAGTTGCCCCCAGACCTCCTCATCCAGGGTACATGGCCTCTGCTTGCCCCTCCAGAGCCTGTGGAGCTCAGGTAGTTCTGAGCTTGACTGACATCTTATCCCCAAGTGCCTGCAGCTTGGGCACTGCCCTTGCCAGACATTGTGCCTCCCCTGGTTCTTGACTCTGTGCCAGAGGACACAGTGACAACTCAGGTGTGAATGCTGTGTCAATGATTGACTTGGCCAGAGCTTGGCTGCATATTCCAAGCACAAGCTGTGAATGCATCACTAATAGAGGGCCCAGAGGCCATTTGAGTCTCCTTCCTCCAGGGAGGTAGACAAGGCCAAGGCTCCCACCATCAGTCCCTGGATATTAGAGGACAGGACTGGGCTTTGACCCAGCAAGGACTATGTCCTGCCTGTGTCCTGAGTGGGGCTCCATAATTAGTCACGTTGCAGGTGGCATGCAGAGAAGTATCTCCGCTTGGAACTCCAAAGGGCCCTGTCAAGTAGGCCTTTATTCATTCTATCTAGAATGAGCAATTGTGAGCTGAGGTCACAGCTTTGCTCAAGTACTCAGAGCCAGAGTGCTTCCTAATTCTGGAGACTTGAGTCCCAGGCTCCATCCTGGCAGCCCATTGCCTCTTTCTGTGCTTGGGAAGTAACATTGAAGAAGAAGGAGAAGCATAAGCTCACAAGTACAAGTGTGTGTTGTCTTCCTGAGTGTGCCTTCCTGTGGTGAGCTCTTGTAATTGCATCTTGTTCAAACTAAACAACTATTAAGAACGTAATTGTCCCAAGCACTGGACTAGGCTTAAGCAATTAATAGTGAATAAACACGTCTATTTATTTAATATACAGCACAATGTAGAGCAGAGCTCAACAAACTGTAGTCTACGGACCAAATCTTTCCAACTGTTCGATTTTATAAGTAAAACTTTATTGGAATCCATCCATGACTGTTCACATTCTACATAGCAGAGTGGGTAGCTATGACATGATTTTTTTTTAACTCATAAGGCTAAAATTCCTATTACACAGCTCTTTCCAGAAAAATCTTCCCTGATTCTACTGCTTACTAGCTGGAGCATTTTTTTTAAGTTCAGTATTTCAGTTTATTTATTTATGGGCGTGGGTGTGCAGGCACCATGGAACATGTCTGAAACAGAGGACAGCTTGCTGGAGTCCAACGTGTGGGTTCCAGAGATAAAACTCAGGTTACCAAGCTTGGCCACAAGCACCTTTACCTGCTGAGCCCTTTGCCAGCCCCAGCGAGGGTGCTGTGTAGAAGTTGCTCCACTCTCCGTGCTCCATCTGTAAAGGTAATTGCCATGCCAGGCTGCTGTGGAGCAGAAGCAGTACCTGGAAGCCAGTGCCAGCTGCGGGGATCCGTCAGGGCCTGGGCCTTGCCAACACTGCTTTATTTTCTCAGCAGCCGGGGCCGTGGAGTTTTCACATGCCCCATTTTCGGATGAAGAAACTGAGGCTGGACAAGAGGGATTGAGCGCTCCTGAGGCAGGGGGTGAGGATGTAGATGCAGAGACGGGAACCCCAAAAGCAAAGGATAGAGCAGCCTCTGCTCTTGTGGTGCTCGTAAAAAACACTAAATAGCAGAAGGCATTCTGTGAGGCAATGTCTGGATCGTGATGCACAGATACCCTAGGAACACAGCTGAGGAGCAGGCTGCATGCCCTACGCACTCAGGGCAGACTCCCTGGGAGGGGAGATGGGAAGCCTCCTACATGGCAGAGGAGGTCTCGGCCACTCGTGGCCACCACCAAGACTCAGAAACCCTTGAGTATCTTCTCTACCAACATCACACAGGGTGTAGAAGCTCCACACAATCATCCTGCTGTCTCTTGATAGAATCAGATCTCAGTTGTCCTTCAACAGGGAAGGGTAAGCCAGCACCTGAGCAGTGCCAGAAGCAGATATGGACTCGCACAAAGTAACCCAGGCCGGCTTCTCCGCAGTCCTTCCTGAAGGCAACACATCATCCAGGGCCCCTTGCTTGGGTTAGATGGATCTCTATAGTTGAGGATCATTCCTCAGAATTCCTAGCCATCAGATCCCCATCTCTCCCTTGCCAGGTCTCCTCACTGGTTTGCACATGCTACCCTCCACTTGGACTGTGGGGCACTGAAGCCCTTGCCTGCGCTGTCCTCTAAGTTTTCTCGCTGAAGCGCTTTCGCAGCCAGCCTCTCCCGCGCCCTCTTGTGAGCATCTTGTTAACTGCAAGGTACTTTTTCATTTCTTGCTCCTGGAGTCTCTTCCTAACACTGGCTCCTGACGCAATATTCCATCAGGTTTGTTCGAAGCTAAAACCCCTTCCTGCTCTCCATCTCCCGGGGTGGACTGGATCCTTAGTTTGACTCATTTAGTTCTTGGGCTTTTCTTGTGCTCACTGCTTAGAAGAAAGCTTCAGAAATGCCAGAGCCTGTAAAAGGCAGTGCCTGTTTTCTTATTTTGCCATCCAACACATATACCACGGCACCAGTCTATTGGCTTGGTAGAGGATGGGCTAGGTTCTTTTGTTACATTTATTGATGAATTAACTATCAAGGGTGTGTGCCACAGCTTGCCTGTGGAGGGCAGAGAACAACACTCAGGCGTCAGTTGTCCCCTTCCACTATGTGGGTCATAGGGGTTGAACCCAGGTTCTGTCTTGGAGGCAAGTGCCTTCACGCACCCAGCCACCTCAGCACCCCACTGCTGAGTCCCTTTGGGCTTCCCCAATTTTGTGACATCCAGCAGTGAGTCAGCAAATCCACCTGTCCATACCCATATCCATCTGTTCCATAGCTGTTTGCACTGAAAACTTAGGATCAGCCATGTCTCACACCGAGCTATGCAATTCTCCAGACAGCTTCAATATCAGGGAAAGCTGTCAGTGAGTGGGCGCATGAATAGCTGTGTCAGCAAATGAACCAATGAAAGGTGGTGTGAGTGAAGGCACTGGAGAGACACCCACTTTAACCTTTTGTTCTTTCTCTTGCTTGTCTCTGTGTATGTGCATGGGTGTTCTGTAGGCACCATCTTTTTCTTTTCTCAAATAGGGCCTCTCACTGCTCTAGAACTTACCAAATATGTTAGCCTGGGTGGCTTGCTAGCCCCAGTCATCCGCCCATTTCCACTTCCCCAGCTCTGGGATTGTGAGAAGGCACCACCAACCTAGCATTTTCCACAGGAGTTCTGGGGAATCGAACCAGGTCCTCTGCAAGCACTTTACTGCCCAAGCTCTGTCCTCTTGCAGTCTCCCCTTTGGCCCAGTAGTGCTTTTCTGTCAAGATCCTCTACAGTAGAAGACTGGAGTTAGAGAACCTCCGGTCTGGTCGTCTAAAACCCATGTCCCTCCCTAGCTGAGAAGTCGTGGTAGAAGCAGGCGAACATTCGTGCCAGGTCCCATTTTTTTCCTTCTAGACACGGGCCTGAGCTATATTTTTCAGCCCTCATGCATTTGTGTGGGGTCATGGATCAGAATTCCAGCCAGCAGATGGCAAATAGGAGTGATTTTGCTAGTCTGCAGCCACGCACACAACCTGCGGTGAGCTCCTACCTCTGGATATCGAGGAAAGAGCGGGTGGCTCCAGAGCTAAGCAAGCCGGAGCCACCATGGAAAAGAGTCTGGATGACTAAGAGGCCATGTGGATCGGCGCCTCCCCCATCCAGCCTTGAACTGCCAAGCAGGCTTTCCATGAGCATGAAATGAACCTGAACCCCAGTCACCATTACCTTTGCAACTGATGGGGTCAGACCTGTTGCCCTCATAAAACAGCTTCAGCTCCGGGGCCTGCTTGATGCCAAACTCCCGCTTAAGCTCCGTCTGCACAGTGATGTCCACTTTGCCAAAGCCCAAGCCGTTCTTGCCCCTGCCGACGATCTCTGAAGCTTTGCCCAGCTCCTCAGCCAGCTTCCTGGACTGCTTCGAGGATGGATTGTCTGAAAGAACCAGTATGAAGATAGACTACCCAGTCCCTCTCCCATGTGCCCCTCTGGTCTTTGTTTGCCCTGGGAACTCCTGGCTCTTCCTGTGTTCACAGCTAAGGAGTGGGTTTCAGAAATGTGACAGGAGATGAGACAAATGAGTCATAAAATGGAACAATTTGGGAGATGACCAGAATCAAACGAAATTAATTAGCAGTCAGTTACATGGTGTTTAGTATTTTCTGAGGGCTTTACAGGTACTAAGTCTATTGTCCCTTTCAATAATTTTATGATGTAGATATTATTATTTTATCTCAGTTTTATAGATGGGGGAACTGAGGCACAACAGAACCACATACTTACCCGAGGCCCTGATAACAGAATGTACTCAAGGCTGCAGAACTCCTGGTTTTGTTTTTTTTAACTCTCACTAGGCATGTAAAAACACTTAGATTAATGTCTTCCACATAAAAAGGACATAGTACATTTTAATTGCTATTGTTATTTATTAATGGTGTAAATTTTTCTTTGGTTGGAAATTAAGGGCAAGTGATGTGGCTCATTTGCGCCATCTGGTGGAATATTTTGGAACTAAGCAGTCATTGCACCCCCTCCTGCTGGGACTGGGAACTCTCTCAGACAAAGGTGGGTGAGGTGTGAGGAGCAGGTGGGTAGGTTACACTGTATGCTCACTCGCCTCTCTGACCCAGCCACCTTGGGAAGGGGTAGCTAAAGAGACCCCGGTACTCTGTTAAAGTGTCTGATATTCTGGAATCCTTGGTTGTTCACATAGCTGGGTAGTGAGGTGAGGTAGGGGCTCCTTACTGAAAACAGCCTCGGAGCCCAGACTTTGGCCATGGGGAGGGGCTATTCTAGCTGGAGTGGGAGGAGCTGAAATAGCAAACCTCCTGATGACATTGCCATGTTTCAGGTCCTTGCTGCCACATGTCCGAGACTGGTATGCTGTCAGGGCCAGGGGAAATGGATTCTCTGTTAAGCCAGAATGTTTTATCCTTTCCAAACCCCTTGTCCATCTGGAGCACTTGGAGGGAGTGCAGGTCACCTCCCGGCTGTGGGCAAGGCCACATCTGACAGATATGCTTCATAAAGCTCAGCCAGGGAAGCTGGGCCTGAGGAGAGCTGGTGCTGGCTCAGTTGCCTGTCACTGGCTCAGCAGCAGAACCTGAGTGTGAGTGATCATTCTCATTAAAGTCCCCACACGTGGGTGGGAAGCCAAGACTTTCTGCCTCCCTCACAGATCGATGCTTCTCCCGTCTGTTTCATCACCATCAGCACCTTCAGTACACCTCTCCATCACCAGGAGCAAGCTCTGGCCTCTTTGCTAGTCACTCTGCTCTGTGGCTTCTCCCAGCTTCCCTGAGGACCTGGCCATGCTGGGCTCATGGTTGCTGAGTTTATGAATGCATATGCTCAGACAAGAGAAGCATTGGAATGGTTGTCAGTGGTGGAGCATTTAGAGATTCCATACACATCCCAAGAGTTCTGGGGAGTCTGAAATAAAGGTAAGGGAGACCGTGTTGCCACAGCCAAAGACGTCTCACATTTCTGTCGCATCCCACCCCCTCTTTTCTCCATAGCAGTTTTAGCCACAAGACACACCACATAATTCACTTCTGGATCTGCTTAGCATTTGTCTCTCCTCTCCTGCCTATGAGTTCCAGGAAGGCCATGTAGTTTACCACTCATTCCTCAGTACTGAGAATACATCTGGGGCATACCAAGCACTCCATAAATACTTATGAATAAGTAAGTACATCTTCTGAAGATCAGTGCAGTGGTGTAGGATGGGTTGAGCAGCAGTTTGAGTGGAAGACTGGGTTTTTAAATTCAGACCAACTGTGTGACTCTAGGCAAATTATCTAACCTTTTTGAGACTTGTTTCATGAGTGAGACAGGAACCATGGTACTGAGTTCAATATTTGCAATGCAGGTGTTTGATAAATGCCCATTAAAATCAACCATGGCTAAAAACATGACAGCTGTCATCAACAGTTCATCACCACAGTCATCATCCCCATCAGCATCTCTATCACAACCACCATCATCATCTATTATCACTATTTCCATAATTATCATCATGGTCTTTATCACCATTACCATCATCTCCATGATCATCATCTTTGTCTTCATCGGCATTACTATCTCTATAATTATCTCTAATCTGTATCAATTATGATTTTGCTGCTATAACTAAAAGCACTCTGACCAAAAGCAACTTGGGAGAAAAACTACTTGCCTTATACTTCTGGGTCATAATCCATCATTGAGGGGAGTCAGAGCAGGAACTGAAACAGGAACCAAATCATAAACCATGGAGAAATGCTGCTTACAAGCTTGCCAAGCACCACCTGTCCAAGGAATGGTGATACATTCCACAGTAGTTTGAGCCCTCCTGTATCAATTTATAGTTAATACAGTATCTTAGAGCCAGGCCCACAGGCCAACATGACCTAAGCAATTTCTCAACTGAGGCTTCTCGTTTTAGATGACTCTAGGCTAAGTCAAGTTGGCAATCAAAGCTAACCTGGACAATTATCACCATTGCCATTATTATATCTATCATCATCACCATCTCTATTATTATCTCCATCATCACCAGTTATCATCATTATCCCAATCCTAATGACCATCTTCACCATGGTCACTATCTATATCTACTGTAATCCCAAGACAGATTCTTGCCACCTTTGCTTTAGGGACAAGTGGCAAATGGCCCTAATGACAGCTACTAATCTTTTCTTGGTCACTTTCTACCAAAAATAGCCTTTCCTTCTCTCTTTGACTCATTCAAGTTAATTGTCACAGTGAAAATGAGGATCCAAAGAAAATATCATTCATTCATTCATTCATTCATTCATTCACTTGACATGTGTGGAGACCTACTATGTTCCAACAGTGTCAGATCCAGGGATCAAGACTTGGTAAGGTTTGTGCCCCGACCCCATGGAGCATGCAAGTTTAGAAATGCTTTTCATATGATGTGACAAATGCACCTAGAAGGAAGCCTAAGAAGACGGGAAAAGATTCCTACCCAGTCTAAATGGGGGGAAAGCTTCCTCACAAGAAACTTAAACTCACAGCCCAAGTGCAAACGTGAAGGAGGGATGCTACAGAGCAAAGTGCATGAGGGAAACCTAGAGACGTGAGCCAGAATAGTCCATTCTGATGAGTAGAGCTGCATTCTAGGAACCAGTCTCTCGGAACGCTTTGCAGAGAACACATTGGAAAGAGCATGGAATCCATGGAGGAGCCTACCTCAGGTCTCAGGTGCGGGATTGTGAGAATGGAACAGAGGCAGTGACAGAGGGTGTGGAGAGAGCTGGGGACCACAGAGTTTGAGATGAAGAACCCATAGGATATGGAGGTACATTCTTTATGAGGCTGCATCAAATTTGGGGATGACTTGAGGTTTCTGACTTTGGCATTGGGTGCTTGATGGTGTCGTCAGTGCACACAGGATGTCAGAAGAAACAGATGGCCAGAACCAATCCCCAAAACTGAAGTTTGTTTTAGATGCAGGCAGCATTTGAGACCTGAGAAAGAAAGGTCTCGCCGAGCATTGAACCTTGAGTTCTGGAGTCATCAGAAGGATGAGAGACCCATCAAAAGGAGTTGAGAGTCACTGAGATGGCCCCTGAAAACTCTCCCGTACAAAAAACAAAAAACCCTTTACCTTTTAGGAAAACATTTATAATCCTTCCCCAAGACGATTTTCCCAGAGGCCACTTTAGAAGGCCTACCAGATTTCAAAAATTAATTTTGAATTCAATTGTGTATTGACAAAATCAATGATGGAAACGTAATGAGTTTCATTTAGAGTCTCTTTTCGATGACAAAAATCTCTGCTGGTGTGAGGGGGAGTATTCAAATACTTTGTATTGTTCCTATTAGTTGCTATCAGAATAATTAAAAATGTAAAAGCAGGAGCTAAGCGTGAGAGCTAAGGTGAAAGAGGGAGCGGGAGCAGGAGCGGGAGCGGGAGAGATGAACTTGGCCTTCCACTGAGATAAAAACAGCTATGAGTGAACAGAACTTTGCATTCTTATGGGAACAGGCCTTTCCCCAGCTGTGAGTGCCGACAGTATTTTTGTGTTTTGCTATGCGTTTGATAGTATATAGAACACCTGCGGTGCCCAAAATCAATGAGACTAGCATCACCCTTCATTGCCAGAGCCGGATACTCACGGAAAATCACCATTAGGAAACGGGTCTCATTCAGTGTCTGAGTCAGGCCTTCAGGAGTCAGCACCATTAAGTTATGATCCTCCAGGATGTGCACAGGCCGGGAAATGTTGATGCTGGTGTCTATCCCTGGTGAGCCAAGGACCTCAGAGAGGCAAACAGCCACCATCAGCAGTAGTGTCCAGAGCAGTTCCATGGCTGGCCTGCAGGGGGTAGTGGAGGACACAGAGCCCTTCTTAAACCTTCTGTACCTGCACCCTGCCTTCTGCCTGTGGGGAAAGGGGAAGGAGTGGGGCTCACGGCACTCTGCAATGCACACAGCTTGGTAGCAGTCCTACAGCAAAAGACAGGTTGTCTGGCCAGCCTCAGCCCCTGGGCACTGACTGCGTAAGGGAAGTTAGAACAGCTCCCACTCACCAAGGACTGGAATCAAAGAGGCCGTTGCAGCCCACTGTTTTCCCAGCCACTTGGTGAGAACTTGGCAGAGATGAGTCCCACTCCAGAACCCCAAAGCGAGCCTCTGACTGGTCCCCTCCCACAGCCCCCTTGACAGATACTGATGCTGCTTCTTGCTCTTCCAACTCTGCCCAGCCCACTGCCTTTAATATACACTGTATTTGGCCTTTGAAATGTTCTCAAGAGTACAGACTGGACTACATAGTGAGTTCCAGGCCAGCCTATGCTACATGGTATGATACTGTCTCAAACAAACAGCAACAACACAAATTTGTCAAGTAAAAAATAAAGATCTATCCTATGATCCCTCTGAGGAGAAAACTGTTCATTGGTAATGAATCCCCACTAATGTTGAAAATACCTGTTGCATATTTTTAAACAAACACAATAAGATTATACATATTGTTGAGTGTTCAATGCTCTTTTCTTTTTATTAATTTTTTCATTTATTTTATATGCCAACCACAGCTCTGTTTCCTCCCCCCACCTCCCATCTACCCCCCATCCACTCCTCCTCTGTCTCCCTTCAGAAAGGGTCAGGCCTCCCATGGGAGTCAACAAAGCATGGCATATCAAGTTGAAGCAGAACAAAGCTCCTCTCCCTGCATCAAGTCTGGGTGAGGCTTCCCATCATGAGGAATTGGTTCCAAAAAGCCAACTCAAGTGCCAGGGACAAGTCCTAATCCCACTGCTAGGGGCCCCACAAACAGACCAAGCTACATAACTATTACCCACATGGAGAGGGCCTAGGTCAGTCCCATGCAGGTTCCCTAGCTGTCCATCTAGAGTCTGTGAGCTCCCATGAGCTCAAGTCAGCTGTCTCTGTGGGTTTCCCTGTCATGACCTTGAACCCCCTGGCTCATACAATTTCTCTTTCCTCTCCTCAACAGGACTTCTGGAGCTCCACTCAATAATTGGCTGTGGATCTCTGCATCTGCTTCCATCAGTTACTGGATGAAGGCTCACTGATGACAGTTAGGGTAGTCACGAATCTGATTACAGGAAAAGGCCGGTTCAGGCACCCTCTCCACTGTTGCTAGGAGTCTTAGCTGGGGTTATCCCCATGGATTCCTGGGAGTTTCTGTGGTACCAGGTTTCTTCCTAATCCCTACATGCAGCCCCCATCAAGACATCTCTTTCATTACGTCTCCCCCTCTATCCCATTCCCAACCCACCCAACTTGATCCCTCATGTTCCCATCCTCCCTCACCCCCACCCACCCCCAGTTTACCCAGGAGATCTCTTCTATTTCCCCTTCCCAGGGAAATCCATGCATACCTCTTTAGGCCCTTCTTGTTACCTAGCCTCTCTGGAGCAGTGGATGGTAGCCTGGCTGTTCTTTATTTTACAGATCCGCTCATGAATGAGTACATACAATGTTTGTCTTTCTGGGTCTGGATTACCTCACTCAGGATGATTTTTTTTCAGGTTCTATTTATTTGCCTGCAAATTTCATGATGTCGTTTTTTTTTTTTTTTTTTACCACTGAGTAATACTCCATTGTGTAAATGTACCAATTTTCTTTATCCATTCTTTGGTTAAGGGGCATCTAGGTTATTTCCAGGTTCTGACTGTTATGAATAAATGCTGCTATGAACATAGTTGAACAAGTGTTCTTGTGGTATGTTTGAGCATCCTTTGGACATGTGCCCAAGATTCGTATGGCTGGGTCTTGAGGTAGATTGATTCCCAATTTTCTGAGAAACCACCATATCAATTATTGATTTCCAAAGTGACTGTACAAGTTTGCACCCTAGTGGAGGAGTGTTCCCCTTACTCCATATCCTCTCCAACATAGGCTGTCATTAGCTTTTTTTTTTAATCTTAGCTGCTCTGATAGGTGTGAGATGGGTATCTCAGAGTCATTTTGATTTGCATTTCTCTGATAGCTAAGGATGCTGAACAACTCTTTACGTGTATCTTGGCCATTTGAGATTTTTTTTTTTTGTTGAGAATTCTCTGTCTAGATCTGTAGCATATTTTTTAATTGGGTTATTTGGTATTTTGATGTCTAGTTTCTTTATATATTTTGGAGATCAGCCTTTATTCAGATGTGGGGTTGGTGTAGATCTTTGCCCATTCTGTAGGCTGTCGTTTTGTCTTATTGACAGTGTCCTTTGCTTTACGGAAGCTTTTCAGTTTCAGGAGGTCCCATTTATTAGTTGTTGATCTCAGTGTTATATTCAGGAAGTTGTCTCCTGTGCCAATGAATTCAAGGCTACTTCCTACTCTCTCTTCTATCAGGTTCAGTGTAACTGGACTTATGTTGAGGTCTTTAATACACTTGGATCTGAGTTTTGTTCACAGCAATAGATATGGATCTATTTGCATTCTTCTACATGCCAACATCCAGTTATGCCAGAACCATTTGTTGAAGATGCTTTCTTCTTTCCATTGTATAATTTTGGCTTCTTTGACAAAAATTGGGTGTTCATAGATGTGTGGATTTAAGTCAGGGTCTTTGATTCAATTCCATTGATCATTCTGTCTGTTTTTATGCCAATAAGAGGCTGTTTTTATTACTATAGCTCTATAGCAGAGTTGAAGTCAGGGATGGTGATACCTCCTGAAGTTCCTTTATTAAACAGGATTGTTTTAGTTATCCAGGATTTTTTGTTTTTTCCTATGATATTGAGTCAGTACTCAACTCTTTTGAGGTCTATGAAGAATTCTGTTGGAATTTTGACTGATATTGCATTGAATCTGTAGATTGCTTTTGGTAAGATTGAGATTTTTACTATGCTAATCCTACTAATCCATGTCAATGCTCTTTTCTTAACCCTGGATCCTCTGGAAAATTTAAATGACATGACTGATACCCCACTCCAGCCAAACTCAGATTAATTCAGAATTACTCAGGATGGGACTGGTCTTAGTTATAGTTATTGCTATGATAAAACACCATGACCAAAAGCAAGCTGGGAAGGAAAGGGTTTATTTGACTTACACTTCCATATCACTGTTCATCATCAAAGGAAGTCAGAACAGAAACTCAAATAGGGCATGAGCCTAGAGGCAGGAGCTGATACAGAGGTCATGGAGCGGTTCTGCTTACTGACTTGCTTCCCATGTCTTTCTCAATCTTTCTTATGGAATCCAGGACCACCAAACCAGGGTGGCCCCACCCACAATGGGCTGGAGCCTCCCCTATCAGTCACTAGTTAAGAAAATGCCCTACAGGCCTGACTATAGCCCAATCTTATTGAGGTATTTTCTCAGTTAAGACTCCTTCTCTTCATTAACTCTAGCTTGTTTCAAGTTGTCATAAAACTAGACAGCCCAGGACCCAAATGTTTATGTACTTCAAAGGTTCCCAGATGGCTCTTAACTTGTTCTTGTTTTAGCTCTTTACTTGGGAAATTTTGAACACATACAAAATAGGGAAAATGGCACTATGTGCCCTCAAGACACTCATTCCTAAGGTTCATAGCACCACAAATTATTCCATTTATAGTCTTATAAACTCTCTGCTGAGTTACTGTGAAGCTCATCTCTCAGGCATTCAATATATCACCTATAAATATTTCAATGTGAATTTATAAGTGATAAGGAATTTTTAAAGTACGATTATGATGTTTAATGAAATAATAACATCTTGTTTCATCAACTATCTAGGCAGTATACAAATTTTCTGGATAATCTCATGAATTTTTGTATGTGTATTGTGTGTGTGTAGTATTGTACACATATGTGTGAATGTGTGGGTGGGTGCAAGCTATCATTTGTATGTGAAGGTCAGAGACACAACCTCAGGTGTCATTCCTCACTTTCTACCTTGCTTAAGGCAGGTACTCTATCTGCTTCCAAAGCCCCAGGTCTACATCATGGAGAACAGACCCTACTAGCTGGTAAGACAAGCTCACTATCTTAGCCAGTGTCCTATTGCTGTGAAGAGACACCATGAACATGTCAACTCTTATAAAGGAAACATTTAATTGGAACAGGCTTACAGGTTCAGAGGTTTAAGTCCATTATCATCATAGTAGGGAGCAAGATGTAGACAAACATGGTGTTGGAGAAGTAGCTGAGAATTCTACATCTTGATCCAAAGGCAGCAGGAAGAGAAAGCCTCTGTGCCTGGCTTGAACTTCTGAAATCTCAAATACCCCCCTCCCCCAGTGACACACTTCCTCCAGCAAGACCACACCTCCTAATCCTTTCAAATAGTTCCACTCCTTGATGACTAAGCATTCAAATACATGAGTCTATGGGAGCCATTCTTATTCGGCCATCACATTCCACTCCCTGGCCCCCATAGGGTTGTAGCTATCATAATTTAAAAGTACTTTCAGTCCAGCTTCAAAAGTCTCCATGGTTGATAACAGTTTCAAAACTATTTAAAAGTCCAAAGTTCAAAGTCTCTTCTGAGACTCATGGCAATCTCTTAACTGTAACCCCCTGTAAAATCAAAATCAAAAAAAGCAAATCACTCACTTCCAACATAAAATGGCACAAAATGTACAATACCATTCCAAAAGGGTGGAAAAGGAGTACAGTGAGGAAATACTGGACCAAAATAAAACCAAAAACCAGCTGGGCAAATTCCCAACTCTGCATCTCCATGTCTGATATCAAAGAGCTCTTCAGATCTCCAGCTCCTTTCAGCTTTGTTGATTGCAACACATGTCTCTCTCTTGGGCTGGTTCCACTCACTGTTAGTAGCTCTTCATGGAAGGTATTGAACAGCTCTGGCATCTCCAACATCTTGGGGTATCTAACACAATCCAGGCTTCACCTTCACAGCTTCACACAATGGCCTCTCTGAGTCTCCATGCAGGGACACCCCTGACATGTGCCTGGCTTCAGTGGCTTTCCTTAGTCTCAGAGGAAGGTTCCATAATGCCTTTCTTCTATTCTCTAAAGCCAGAACCACATGGCTGAGACTATCAAGTTCTGATGCTTGATGGGGCTAGAACTTGGCCCCCTCATTCAAACATTTTCATCAATTTTCTGAATCCAGTGGTTTCTTTCACTGCTTATGCTTTTCTGTAATTCTTTTTCATAAGTTGGAAGCTTAGCTGCATGGGGTCTTGCCCTGAAGTCACCACCCCCTTTGTTTCATTTCTTAATCTGTTTATCTCCTAGAACACAGGACTTAGCTGAATTACCCTACCTGATGTTCCTTTTTTCCTCAAACTGTACATTTTGTATTTTTTCTTTCTCAGCTTGCTCCTTTTCACTATAGATCTGCAAAAGACTGACCAGTAATAACCAAGTGATAAAGTCAATACTAAGCTGTCTTAAAAATCTCCTCTGCCAGTGCCATTAATCCAAAACTCTTTAATTTAGCCTCAGGCAGATTTTATGGACAAGGGCAGAAAGCAGCTGCATTCTTTTCCAAAATATCACAAGAACAGTCTCTAGGCCACTTACTAATATTCTTCTCCTCTGAAACTTCTTGAGTTGGTCCCTCATGCTCCATATCACCCTCAGAAACACTGTCTTCCATGTTCCTTCTAGGATGGCCCATTAAGCCCCAATTAATGCATTCAATTGCTTTCCTAATTCAAAGTCCCAACAAGCAGCATGGTTAGGCCTGCTACAGCAATACCTCAGTCCCTGGTACCAACTTTTATTTTAGTTGGGACTTTTATTACTGTGAAGAGACACTATGACCACTGTAACTTTTATAAAGGAAAGCATTTAATTGGGACTTGCTTACAGTTTTAGAAGTTTAGTCTATTATCATCATGGAAGGGAGCTTGGCAGCACATAGGCAGACATGGTGCTGGAGAAGTTGAGAGTTCTATATCTCAATCCACAGCCAGCAGGAAGAGAGAGGGCCACTAGGTCTGGCTTGGGCTTTTGAAATTTTTGAAAGCCCACCCCGAGTGACACACTTCCTCCATCAAGGCCACGCCTACTCATCCTTTCAAATAGTGCCACTCTCTGGTGACCAAGCATTCAAATCTATGAGCCTATGTGGGTCATTCTTATTCAAACCATCATCAGCCTTCACCATGTCAACCTTGCTGTCTCACTCATTCATTCCCTGTCTTACTTAGGGCTTCTGTAGCTGTTGAGAGACACCATGACCATGCCAACTATTATAAAGGAAAATGTTTAATTGGGGCTGGTTTACAGTTCAGAGATTTAGTCCATTGTCATCATGGTGGGAAGTGTGGTGGCACTGAGGCAGACATGCGCTGGAAAGGTAGCTGAGGGGTCTACATCTGGACCCATAGGCAGTAGGAAGAAGGAGTAACAATGAACCTGGCTTGAACATTTGAAGCCCAAAATCCATGCCCAGTGATACACTTCCCACAACAAGGCCACACCTACTTTAACAAAGCCATACCTCCTATTAGTGCCACTCCCTATGAGCCTATGGGGACCATTTTTATTCAGACTACCACATTCATTCATTCGTTTGTGTTAGAATTCCTAGCCACTCCCCTAGCTACATGACCATGCATGCGCTGTCCAGTAGCCAGGCAAGATGCTTAGTCATCCTAGGGCCTTACGTCCTACACAATCCATGTGCTGCGTGATCACATAATCTGCATGAAGCATGGTCACGTAATCTACGTGCATGCATGGCATAGCTACATAAGCACATATGCACATATGGGGAGGAACCTATAAAAGCGGGTTCCACCTGCTCCTTCCCTCTCTTCCTGCACCATCATTCCATAGGCCTATGCACACCCCTTCTATTCCCTTCCCTTAATAAGCTCTTATAGTGGGTTTTGTTGTGCCTCTTGGCTTCTCTCGTATGATAAACAGGGCCGCTTAATAAATAGCATTGTGCTTAATAAATAACAATTTGTTCACTCACTAAGTATTTTTGAGGTCATGATGCATGCTGCCTTCCCTTCTAAGCACAGAAGCCACAGAAGTGAACAGAACAGACTAGAGTCTTTGTGTTCTGCTGGGAAATAAGCAGATAAGACAGCGAGGAGGAGGCTGAGAAGGGCTGAGGGACAAAAGCCAGTAGGAAAGGTTGAAAAGTGACGGAGGAAGGGGACAGTTCAGCATTTAAAGCAGGGTGATGGTAGAAATCTTTGTTCAGGGAACACGGGGCTGAAGCAAACAAATAAATGCACTGTTTACACTCTCTAGGAGTGGAGACGAAGTAGTCCCTCTTCCAAGCCATCACTTCCACCCCCTTGCTCTCTCTATTGAGAGTCCCCTGAAACCCAAGCTTCCTCTACATCGTCCCTGCACCCTTGCTGGCACTGTGCCCCCAGTTATCCTCTGCCTGTGCCTTGCCCATTCATTTACCTGGGTGTGGACCTCATTCGTTCTGTACCTGCCTGTTTCTGTGGCTGGCATCCTTTGTGGGCCCTGCTGGAGCCCTCTCACCTGCTCAGTCCTAAAAATTCCAAGCGCAGATTCAATGTCAGTCCCCACTTCAGGGGAAAGTGACTGGAATGGAAACCTCCTGGATAAGAAGAGCTGACACTAAAGGGGGTGTTCCCAAGCAGCCTTTTGTGGGATTTTGTCCATCAGGATTCCACCAAGACCCCCAGATTCCAACCGCCATGGGCTCTTATCCGGATGGTCTTCTATTTTTTGTAGTCCTCAATCCCCGACACACATACAGCAGTCAAAGACCTCCATTTTTAGTAGGAACTAGACCAAGTGGCTTCTCTTTATGGAAAGGTTCCTGTGATCTGCCAGTATGAATTATCCAAAGCGTGTGTAATTCTGTTGGGTCCAGTGCTTCTAGACCTTGTCCTTAATGCCCTGTGACCTTGGTCCCTTCCCCACCCCACTCTAGGACTTTGCCTCTGCCTACAACTTGTCTGTCTCACCTCTTGAGAGTCTTAGGATCCTTTGGATTCCTACATAGAAGCCCCCTGCTGAGAGTACTCACCCATGGGCACCAGGAGCCACCCAGCTCACATACCAGCTATCAGGTGAGGAGGCTTCCAAGGCCACTTGGTCTCATTCACCTCCACCTGTATCACTTTGCCCTCCTAGTCACCAGTGTTTGTTTCATATTTCAGTTTACTTTTGTTTGCTTGGGTACTGCCTGTTTCATTTTTTGAACTTTCTTTTTAAAGACATGGTCACACTAAGTAGCTGAGGCTGGTCTGGAACTTACTTCGTAGCCCAGACTGGTTAGATATTCCTGATCTTCCCACCTTCTCAACTTCCCAAGTGCTGAGATTTGAGATAATACACCACTGCATCTGGATCTTTAAAGTTGTTAAATATAAATGAATAGAATTGTTAGTAGTTGTTTCCCCACCTCCTAGAACCATGCCTGGACCTGTTTTGATGCTCAGTGACAGGTGAGTGATTGGATGGCCTCATTTAATCCCCACAACAAAGTCCATGGCCTATTTGAGTGAGTTTTCAATTACCACTACACAGTACAGTTTCCTGGAGGAGTTTCTGACAAGTACTAATGCTTGAGTCCATACCCAGCAGGTTCTGACTTAATAGGTCTGTGGTAGGGCTATGCTGAGCCTATAAAGCCATTGCACTGAACCTAATGCGTAGCCATCTTAAATATAAGATTCGCTCGACAAAAGGAAAGTCACCTGTCAATCAAAGTGGTCTTGTTCCGCAAGTTCATACCTGCAAGGAGCTGGATTACTCTCTGGCTGTTGGGCTGTAGGGCCACGTTGAGCTGGGGCACTCAGCTCTGTGGCACTTCAGAGGGGGTATGGGAGTCTGAAGAGCAGGCCTTATGTTTCCCCTTGTGATGAGAGCAGGACCTGTCTACTAATGGGTGTTCCCGAGGAATCCAGGGGCAGAAATGAAGTTCCTACTTGAGCACATGGAGGCCACAGCTGCCTCTGAAGCAGTGTTCTGAGTTCTGGGGTTCTAGAGGGCCAGGCTGGGGGGCTGGAGGAGAATGGGCCATTGTTGTGTAAGAGGGGCCTGGCATAGCATCCCTGCTGAAAGAATGTACCCATGGTCACCGGGGACAAGAGTTTCTTTGGGGCCAAAAGCCCAACTGGCTGTAGAGTATAGAGTGCCTATGAATTGGAGTTTGAGTGCCTGCACCATCCTAAGCAATGTGACCTTAAACATGTTGTTTACTCTTTCTGAGGCTTGGTTTCTTCTACCGTTCAATGATATGGAATTCACTGGATATGGGAAGGGTTAAACAAGCTGATAGGTGCAAAATGAGCAGCTGAGTGTACTGAAGGCAGTAAGCACCCTCTTCCATCTCCGCCGCTACCCGCCTCTCAGTCCTCCCCCTCTGTTCTCCTCCCCTCCCCTCCCCTTCTAAAGTGCTGGGGATCAAACCTAGGGCTTTTCATATACTTAGCAAGTACTCTACCTCTTATTTTACCACTGAGCCACACCCCAGGCCTTCTTAGTGCCTTTCCTTGACTGTCCTCCAGACACATCAACCTCCTCCTTCTTCCTCAAATATGATACCCACGGTCCTACCTCAGGGCCTTTGCACTTGCGTTCTCCTCCTAAATTACATGCATTTCCTTTGCCTAGCATATGCTAGACACCCAGAAAATATCTGTTAAATAAAAGCTATTTGTATTATTAGTATGACATGGTTATGGCCAGAGTTTTCGGCCTTAGATGCCCTAGCTCTTATCAAATACTGACAGAGATAGAGATACTAAAATTATCTCACCTGAAGACAGCTCACTTGTCATATACCTGAGCATGAAGATCATATCTCTAGAAATTGTTGCAAATTCAAACATTTATTGCCTAGGGCCAGTAAAGATTCTGTGGCCAAGTTAGATCAGGAAAAAAAGAAGCTACCCTTGTAGAAGTGGGCCAGGTTGACTTGACCAACAAATGAGACATGGGAGGATGGCACCATTAATGCTAGATACCCTGTGTGAGGTCCAGCATTTTCTCTAGGAGAACCCCTCGTCCCCTTCTAGTGTTAAGGAAGATGCTCTGAGGTCCCCCTGTGCTGCTGGGGTTGGGGGACTTCACCAGATTAGATGTTATTCTAGAAACAAAAGCAAAACACACCTTTTCATACCTATAGTGTCAGAAATCAATTTGTACCTATTCCTCATGGAAAGCCCCAGGACAGTATCTGGCAGTGAAAAAATATTGAATGAATCTTGCTTTTACCACTTATAAACTCATCGAATAATCATGAACTCCCCCAAATGTCCTGAGTGCAGTTGTCTATGGGAGTGCAGAGGATCCCAAACCCACATCTGCACGAGTTCATGTGTGAAGGAGATAAACACAGAGAATTAACTAAAAATATATGGTGTTAGAAAAGTGGTCTGCCCTAGAAAGGAAAAGCTAGCAAGAAATGGTGGTCAAAGGAGGTGTGGGGAAGGATGGCTGAAGGAGACAGTTCTAGTCTGAGGGAGAGTCTTGTGGCATTCCAAGTAAGACCTTGACAAGCAAGGTTTTTTTTTTTTTTTTTAAAAAAAAAAAGTAATTCTCAACCTGTGGGTCGTGACCCCCTTGAGGTCTCATATCAGCTATCCTGCATATCAGACATTTACATTCATGGCATTCGTAATGGTAACACAATTACAGTTATGAAGTAGCAATGGAAATAATTTTATGGCTGGGGTCACCACAACACAAGGAGCTAGAAAACTAGGAAGGTTGAGTACCACCGATGTAGCAGGGATAGTTGGGCAGGAAGACATAGGTGTGCAGGAACCTTCACAGTGGGAAGTCGGTGACACAAATGAATCTGGGAGCCTCTCAAGCAGGTTCTGGTGACAGCTACACCATCTGCCTTTCAGTGGCTGGGGATCAGGACGGGTTCTGCTGCTGTTCTCAAGGAAACAGTCCACTGTGCATCCATGTCTCAACTTTGGCTTTGATCCTTGCAGAAACAGAGACCCTTAGAAGGCTTTTCATCTAATTTCAACAGCTTTATTAGATAAGATCCAATTCTCTTCTTCTTCTTTTTTCAGCAAATTTATGTAATTGGGCTGCCCTGGCTCCCATCCAAGAGCCATTTCATTAACTCAAAGAATCTGCTCTCATCCTTAGCAAGGCTGCTCATTCACTTTCCATCTTTAAGCTTGGAGATGGGGGGAGGTCTTCAAGTAGGAAACAGATGGGGTCTGGCTTTGTGTCCTTTCTGTTAAAGCAGGGCAAAGTTCTTATTCCATTTTCAGGCTGTTGGCCTGAATTCCAGGGAGTAAATGTCCTAGTCCTGAGGAGGCCAAGTCCAGGTCAGGGTTCGGCCTTGTCAGCACTGTGTGCCAGGGAAACTGGCAGGGAGCCGCTTTCACTGGTTCACGATGTCCTGACTGGTTGAAAGCTGAAACTGCATGTCCCTGGCTGGCTTCTAATCCTCTCTCCGGGCTGTGTTTGGGGCTAAAGCTCTGGGTCAAAATCCTTTCTTCAGCCTCTGCGTGAACTTCTCAGGAGCCTTCAGGTCTGCCCTGCTGCTGAAGAGGAACACAGATACCTTGGATTTTAAAACAAGGTAACTGAACAAGAAATTCTTCACTGGCAGGTGTCACTTGCCCAGAGGTCTTTGGTGATGAAGTCAAGGATAGGCACAGCATGAAGTGACCTTAGGAAAGTGTGGGAAAGGCCTGGAGAGTCTGGAGTGTGGCCACTAAGGAGAGAAGAGCCAAAGGAAAAGGTGTGGGACAGAACACAGGGATGATGCCGGGGATTGCTAAGCACCAAACCTAGGGTTAGCAGCGACGACAGAGCCTGAACTCAGACTTTTCTGGAAAGTGAAGCTTGGGAGTCGCCTTTCCTCTTGTGGAGAGAGTACCATTCTCGGCAGAGTTGTCTATAAGGCTTAATGAAGAGCTTTTTCATAATTTTTATTGTTGACTAAGCATATGTTGTTATACAATATAATGGGTTTCACCACGGCTTTTTCAGACACATATAAAATGCTTTTTCATAATAATCATCCCCATCCTCACCTTTTCTCCCTCTCTGCCCCCACCAATCCCCTTCTCCTCAACTACTCACTCTGACATTTTTTGTTCTTTTAAGTTATTATTTCTGGAACCCTGTGTGTTTAATAAGGGTTGCTTACAGGACCATGAACGGTTAGTTCCAGAAGCTTGGGCAATCTATCGGTGTGAAATAAGAACAATCATTCATTCAGTGGTTGTGGGAATGGGTTTCTCCTGTTGTTGAAACACATTGTCATTGTTTAATGTTGCCCTGTTGTGTTATCACTAGAGGAACTTGGCCCAAGGGACCGAAACTGGGAGTGTCACCACTCAGGTGATATATCTAGCATCCTGGGAACATGCAGAGTCACACTCACAGATGTGAGCTGGGGCTCCACATCTGTCACAGACTCTGGAGACCACCTGTGTTTCAAGGCCCATGCACTGCCCACTGGCAGCTCCTGGCACTTGACACACAGCTCTGCTAAACCTAGCTATGCATATTAGTGTGAAGTGCATATTGCATTGCACTTGGTGCAAAAATACAAATATCTCCTAAATGATTTCTCCTCACAGGGGTGCCATGTTGAAGCGATAATGTTATTCATGTACCTGGTTAAGTAAGAGATATCACTCTAATTAATGTCTCGTGTTTCTTTTTACTTTTCTGCATCTAAGTGGCAGAAAGCTGTGCGTTGCATGTGTGGCTAGTAATTTGTCTCTATTGGGCAGTGTTGGGCTGTTGGAGGTGACAGCTATGTTAATTACACTGACCTACCATCACACACACACAGCACAAAGGAGCTGAAATGTCACAGTGTGCTCCCTAAATCTGTGTAATTATAGACCAATTAAAACAGTTAAAATACCTGTGAAGGGGCTAGGGAGATAATTCAGTCAATAAAGTGCTTGTCCTAGAAGTATGAGGACCTAAGCTGATCCCCAGAATCTACATGGAAGAGCTGGAGATGGTGGATTCGTAGGGTGTGCTGACCAGTCATCCTAGCCAAACTGGTGAGTTATAAGCCAATGAGAGACCTTGTCCCAACAATAGCAAAAGGGGCTAAGGAACAACAGCCAAGGTTTTCCTCCAGCTTCCGCATGTACATGAACACATGTACCTGAACATATATGTGCACCTGAACACACATACACACAAATTACACATTAAAGTTTTTTAATTACAATAGCAAAATTACTGCTATTGGGGGATCCCTTTGAAGGCCTGAGTTTTGAGAAGTGGCCTCTGAACGGATGACCTCAGATACATGCAGACCCCCACACAGAGAGAGGTAGGAGAGTATTTCCGGTTCAGAGAGGAGACTCTGCCAATGTCCGTCACAGCAGAATGAAGCCAATGATGTGTCCCACAGCTGGTATGAGCTATGCCCCTCTCAGGGTTGGTCACAAACCTCAACCCAAATTCAAGAATTCAAGACTACAGTCTCTCCTCTTTGGTGACAGGCAGGAGGCAACAGAAGACATGAGGTTATGGCGGAGAGGCCTGGTCCTCCAGGCTCTGAGGAGTTCCTGGGGAGTCTGCAGGATTCACAGGCAGCCACCACCTCCACCTGTCCCTGAGGTTGTGGCCACCTGGGAAGCCATCAGCCTGGGGAGGCAGCCAGTGCCTGAGTACTTCAACTTTGCCCACAATGTGCTGGACGAGTGGAGTCGGCTGGAAAAGGTGAGGCCCACCCTGCCCTGGTGTCCCACCCAGGCATCTGAAGTCCCTCAGACACTGCAGTGAGACTCAAGGCTATAAGACAGGAGCATTTCAACGTTGAGACCTGGGAACCTGGCGAGTTCTAAAACTCAGAATTGTTAGCACTGAAGCCTGAGGGGAATAAATCCGACCCGAGTGGTATGAACCAGACGCAAGCACCTGGCACAGGGCTTAAAGTGTCGCTGGTTCCGGAGCTCAAACCACACAGACAGTCACGCTTCTTCATCCTCCTGCTGGGGATCCACTAAGTGGAAGGGGCTCTGCTTTGATGATAT